ACATCCAACGAAAGGAGATTGCGACCACACAAAAGGCCACGCCATCTTGGTCTTCATATCTTAACTCAAGTATGTTTGCTACATCCTACCACTGTTTCGTTTATAAAGAGATGCATATTACGCCTAGGGACTTAAGCAGGTTTCGTGCAGATAAGAGTAATGAAAACTGAAATAATTTGATACTAGCGGTTGAGAATAAGGCTTGACCGTAAATACGAGTTCGCTCTGAGCTGGATCGCAAAATATAAGCTCAGCTAAAATGGATTGCAGGCTTAATCAAAGATCACAGACCAAGCGGCACGCATCAAGGCCACGGCGGATTCCTCTTGACTAGCTGTCGATAGGCTTTAATGGTGACGCTGTTTCTGAAGTAATCTCCTACGATTCTGGTGAAAAGATGCTAAGCTTTCGTCCGACATGACGAGCATCATCAGAGCAAAGTAATCAACGTCACAATCAAATTCAAGTTAACGAGTCAAAAAAACTTACCGACAAATCCCTAAAAAGCGGTATATATACTGTTTATCTGGCTTCTTTGGTCAAAAATAAAGTGATTTGATTAGTTACGGTCATATGTCAACCTCGAAGCCTCTGAGTTTGTCTATCTTTGTATGCGCATGTTCCTGTTTGTGTTCACTTATGCACGAAATCCGCAGTGATGGCTCAAAGTAATTAGGACAGAAAAAGTAATGTCTGTTCTCGGGCATCAGGTCTTTATACATACATATTATGACCATCACTCCGCTTGCGCAAAGTCGGACACACGTCTGGTTATGCTGATGAACTTTTTGTTTTTGGTCTTAAAGCTAAAGAAAGAGTGAGGTAAACGTACAGAGAAGTGACTATGATTAAAACCAAGAGAAGAAAAGCTAGTTGCTTCGCCGTTGTCAGCCGTTTCAACTCTTTAGTTAAATGTTCGCTATCCGCTAGTCCCATAGTCATTTGATGGAGGAAAGCTTAGCCCGTTTTTACCCGAAACGAGGGAGGTCTCGTGGACTGCATCAACCTAAACGTCGTATTAAAGCCAAACGACTGCTGTACAACAGGATTCATCCGTCCTCTTCTGTCGAGATCGACCTATGAATCTCTTTTTCATGCATTTTCATACAAAATGAAAGTCCCCCAACAATGAAAGTTTTGGGATAATTATTCTTGCCTATAGTCTAGAGCAGAACAATCCTCCTTTGTAAGATTAATCAAATGGCCTAAGCTTCATTCAGCTTCTATGCATCACCAAGAACTTTGCGAACCTGACAATTAAAGAAGCTTTAAATGGTGGCTCTGGCTTATGCCTTTGACGTCTACCCTTCTACAGCTAAGTGAACCAAGTCGATCTAATTGAATATTATTACGTGGCCAAGTCAGCTTAACATGTTATCTCGCATCATGAAGTTTAAATCTTTAATTTAAAATACACAAACGCAAGGTGATTGTGGATCGAATCTGTCTATTTTGATTAGAATCATTAATGAAGCTAGGATTTAAGATACTCACAACATAAATATTAGAGTATAGTAGCAAGAAGACAGTCTTGATGCAATCCAGTTGCCAAGTGGAGTAAAGCATACGAGAATATGCTCGCTATATTCTTCAGAAAGTAAATGTATGTACCCTAAACAAACTGAAGTGTTGTGTGCAATATAGGAAGATTTTCGACTCATGAATGAAAGGCCCAAATGAACAGTGCTTAAGAATCGAACATACGTAAATTCTCTAGAAAGGTCGTTCAGGGTTGAGCACATAAGAAAATAACAAATCGTTAAACAACTTTTAGCCTTAGGGCAATGAGAGAGATATTTGCGAATTATTTTACTAAAGGATTCAGGTCAGACCTGGATTTAAACATTTTTATAACTTATAAATAATAGGGGGAATATAATAACCAGGCTTTATCCATTTGTATGAATAAAGACTGGATTTTAA